TCAACAAGGGAGCAAGTGTTTATAGCGAAGCACTTACAGGCAACTGCTAATGTCTAACATGAATCGTATAAGAATATCAAAGAATCAGGAAGGAAAATCGTTTGAAGTATCTGAAACCGTACGTAGAACTCTTCCGAAAACAGGTAATTTGAGTCGGCATGCAGTCTGGCAACATGCTCTTGAAATTCTTCTGTTGTAATTGTTAACTTTCGTTCTGAAAAAGAAAGAAACAGATCTAAATTGTAAGAGCTGCAAGTCCCACCATTCAAATTTATCAAACACTAAAAGGTAGGTAACCTTTTTTCACAGCTTATGAAAAGGGGGAAGCATAAAAAAGAAATGCAAACAGTTTCCAGTAAACGAATGGAAGAAGGGGCAATTTGAGAATCAACGTGCTCCGTTTTAAATCATAAAATCAAACAATTTTAAAATATCCCGGCAGAAAGATGAGTTCTGTTTGACTGAAGAGCTGTCCCTTTCAAACAAGCAGGTTAGCGAAAATCGAGTCCCCCACCCGTCGTCGTCTAATCAGTCTTCTAAAGGAATAAACACAATGTTCCAACCTTGTAGGTAGCAACCCGGCTAGAGAGATTCTGTCAGTTGCTAATCCAATCACCATAAGAGTGCCAAAAAGAAATCTTAGAAAGACAAACTTTAGAACTGTTTGGAAACCAGACCTATAAAAATCTCATAAATTTACTTGATCTGATAAATTCACTTAATCTCATAAATTTGCTAAATCTCATTAATTTACATATGAAATCCTTACCACTGCTGTGCATTCGTAATACTGATGATGACTGCTGATTGGATGGTTCTTCGATATAGAACACAGAGCGCCCATATTTATCAAACAGATTCTTTTTTCTATGATTTGAACAGATTTAAAAATACATACATAAATGCATCAGAAATATCATTTTTAGCTGGCCATGTTAGGGAATGGACTAAGATCCTCTAGCAAAGCGGGGAATCGAGGGAGGTAATTTCAAGTTTGTTGTTTCCGTCCTACATCTAGTTTGAAGACAGGTTTTATGAACTCGGGGAGCAGAAAGGGCGTTTAAAGTTTACAAAATCTTGGAGGGAAGATAAGTTGTGGCACAGAGTTCATGAAATAAGTACAGAGACTTTGGAAGAGTAATTGAACGAGTATCCAGTGTTTTGTACTCGGGGGACCCTTGGTCAAATCTGGTTATGAAAAGGTGCATTCGACTATCAAGCAGGCATTCAAAGCTTTTACCGTAAATCCTCGAATAAGCACCCACGCTCGAATAAGCCTCCATCTAAAAAATCACTTTTGCAAATAAGCCCCCCCCCCTTAATAAGTCCCCATGGGGATTTATTCAAGGGAAGCATTATTGCAGAAAAATTATATCTTATTTCAAAAAATCCCCCAAAGGACAATAGCTATACAGTATTACTTTCTTTGGCAGGAGACCAAAAAGCATAAAAGCGACTTTTGTGATAATAAAAAGTTATAATATTTGTTAGACCTTCACGCTTTTTGTGATTTTGCAATATTTTTCATTGAGAAAATTATATCGTTCCTATGTCGACCTATGAGAAAAATACTAAACTTTGAAATAAGCCCCCCCCCCCCACCACCTCAAGTAAGCCCCAACCCAAAAATTCATTTTTGCAAATAAGCCCCCGGCTTATTCGAGGATTTACGGTACTTAGATAAAATAAGACGAACATCAATTACAGATCAGATTGCCAACTGGTGTTTATATAAATAACACAGAAGCAAAGAGTACTGATTTAGACTAAGAATATGGCATTCATAAGTACGTCCACACAAATAATGATATTATAAAAATACATGACAATTTTTTTAAAGCTGGAAGGCAATTTCAATTGCTGTAAAAGCAAACTAATTTATCGGTAAACCTAACAGAAATATTAAAAGTATCATACAATGTAAAAATGCAAGGAATATATTTCCAAGCAATGTAAGGAATATGTTTTCAGATGCGCTAGACGGAAAATGTGACCTGCTGATATCGCTGCTCAGTTATTTGTAAACAGAGATATTACAACAAAAGCATTAGAAACAGGAGATTTAGTGAGTCACTCACTTGCAATAGAGTAAACCAGCCAGAATTACAACAATGACAACCAGAATGCAGATGACAGTGACCAGGATAAGAGCTGAATTGCCAGCTCTATTAACCACAGCAGGATTGGTATCAGGCACTATTTGGCGAGGTTCTGAAAAGATATGCATTTAACATATAAATAAAATTGGTAAAAATACATGCTGAATCGAAGAAAATTTATAATAACATGAAATGAAGTTTTATGAATAAAGTGGAATTTAAAACCAAAAAGAAGACACTCACTTGTTGTAAACTCTTTTTCAATACTAGGCCCTAACAACGTTTTGTTATCCCTATTTCGCCTGATAGAGGCCTGTAAGATGACATTGTATGTTGTATTTGCCTCCAAGGAAGAAAGTAACAGCTCATTTACAGGGTTCTGACATACTTTTGAAGCAATTTGTCGCACTGGGCTTACAGCGGACACATGATAGCATGCGATGCGTGTTTTTGAATAAGAAGTCTTGGCTCGAGGTGGCAACCATCTTATTTTCAGAGACTTTGCTGTTGCCATAATCAGTGTTAAGTTTTGAGGTTTTTCTGGAGCTGAAAAACAAAACCATTGATGTGATCGGTACACGTTTGGCATTAAGGGCTTGCACTTTAACAGTCACAAAAAACCAAAGATACCAAAAGCACAATTTCTGCCAAAATTCCTTGCAATTTAATTTGTTCATTCATACTTTATATTTCTTTTCCAAAATACAATTAGTTCCCCCTCTATTTCCCTAGAACAAAGTTTATAGTTTTCCTAAAAATCATAGAAGTCACATGAAAAAGGTACTTAATCCACTCCGTTGTTTCGTAGTAAACCTTCATTGTTCCCAGAGGAGAGTGTGATAGATGCATTAGCTCTTTCAAACTGTTGCTGCCCAAAAGCTTTTTGCAGGCATTGTAGATATCAAGTCAATGAAGGAAGTCTTTACCTGACTCATCTGTTAATATGCTCCAAACATCAGAATGATTCAATCCTGCCTTGTTTCCAGCAGAAACCTTTATGTTGTAGACTGATGATGGCATCAAATCAGTTAAAATATATTCCTTAGGATATCGAAGACTTCGCGAGAATCTTTTTCTACTGAATGCATTATCAAGAACATCGATTGGGACCCAGTCTTCTCCACCTTCTTTTTGGTACAAAATCTGAAAATGAATTAATTATCAAAACTTTCCAATCAGTGAAAAATAAGATGCCCTTACAAGCAAAAAAGAGAATCAAAGAAACCTGACCTGCTTGGCCTGCTTGGCCTTTGGCAGATATGACTTGAACAGTTTGCAGAGGTAGCAGAACTGAAACCATCTACATAAATGTCCCATAGGAATACCAATGGATTTAAATGAAGAGAAACTTTTTTCACAATGAGATGCTTTCCCAGAGTGATGTTACACAACAGAACTTGACAAAGACATTGAATAAAATACATTTCAAAAAGGAACTGGATATATTCCTAAAATATGATTACACCTGTTCCATTTCGGAATAAAATAAAACATACTTTTATTTTTAACTAAAAGGGGCTGTTTCAAGGTTTTGGTAACAAATAAAAAGCCACGGGATATTGTCATTTCAATCACAGTCCATGAGATAGGTTTTATGGTGACATTTCTGTCCATTTCTGCTTACTGCTCACTGAGAGTTGCTAGCTATAAAAGTGGGCTGTGATTTTTAACATCCCATTCCTTCATGAAGAGAAAAATGGCAATCAGACATTTTTTGTTGCCTTTTTCTACACATACAAAAATTTGAAAGCTGTGCATGATTAACACAGATATAAAATACTGATTTATTCCATATTGGTTTCCCTGATTCCATGCTTGTTGTTTCACCCAAACAACTTTTGCTTCTCTTGTTAGATTGCCACGCGGGTTTTATTGTGTGCACAGCCCTTCAACAGCTGAGAAAAATGCTCAATAGTTAGGTCAAGTTTACCTCATGATATTGTGCACACGAGTTACCCTACATTAAAAGCTGTTTCAATTACATAAAAATATCTAACTCAACTTCTGGTCGATGAACATGCACTTACTCTGTACGACGGAGGTGGCCCGTTAAGATCAAGTGGTGGGTACCATCTAACAATAACAGCAACTTTAACATCATTTGTGTTTAGCAATTCAACCATTTGTGGTGCACTTGGAACTAAAAGAAAAAAGTCAACACCATAATTCCTGCCAAGTCTTGCATATTTTGGGCTAATCAAATATAATTCAGCAATTTTCAAGTCTTGCAGCATAGGCAGACAATCTTATGCTTCTTCTCCATTTGCAATGTATTTTTTATGTTTGTTTTAAACAATCTGAAAAATTTCATATGCATCATATTCAAATTGACAAGTATATGTTGCTAAACTGGTGACATAACTGGTTAGTAGTCATGATTTTTTATTTCACTGGTGACATGATTTTTTATTTCAATATTTTGGTTGTTCAAATTAGATCTAACTATTTACATTATATTGGATTGCTTCTCATTGTTTTACAGTTTCAATCTAAGTCTCTATAGGTTCACTTTAAATAAAACTCAGTACTGGACAGTCAGATAAAGTTCAGTACTCAGGGTAAAAGATTATGAAACAACTGAATTTTGTAAAGAGCATGAACTACAAGATTTTATGAAAATCAATTAAAATGATTGGCTGGTTGGTATAAAACTTGAAACACTGAAAAAATATATATTTTTCCTTTATTTAAATACAGCATTAGAAGAAAGAAGGACAAACGTTTGAAATGGATGGTAATGGATGTTTGAAAACAATAGAAAAGCATAAAGAATACAAGAGTGCTCAATGACATTAAAGATGTTATAAAACTGTTAAGTGATCTATATAGATTGAAGCTTTGATTGGTTATTCATTCGGTGAAAGTTTTAGAAATTTCTGTTTTTCATTATGTTGTGATCACAGGGGCTTGGTAGGACAAATCCTGGGAGAAATCCTGGGAGAAATCCTATTTTGTGCTATAGATTTTTTGTGAATGATCATTTTTCTGAATCAGTGAATCTTTTTAGAAGACATCTTATTTATCAAAGATTTTTTACAAATAAAGTGGGTGTGGTCATGGCTGTAGTAATAGGTGTGGCTTTCAGAAGTTGCATACAGCACTATCCCTTCCCAACTAAGGATGAAAAGCCTGGGTGTTCATACCAAGTTTAAATGTTATCAATGTGTTATTTACAGTGTTTTTCATTCTGAATTTGTTTTGACACAAAAAAGAAACAAATGAAAAAGTTTACTTAAACACATTTACTTCACACTTTCTATGTGATAAAACAATTTAATAGTGAAAGCAACTTTACAAGTTATAAGCTACTTCAGCACAGATTTCTCAGTCAACCAGTGATCAAATGGAAAAATCTTTATTATTCAGTAGAAAAGCATGAAGCACTAACTGTGTTGGGAGGTGTGAAAGTGAAAAATTGACCTAAGAAATCTGGTGGCAGCTCTCCCTTTCAAAAACCTGGCCTCAGTTCACAAACAAAACCTCTTTATATGCCCCTTTCATCATCCCCGCATTACCCGGACTTTTTTCCAGCAGCTTCTTTTCTTGCTCTGACTTGTGCTGTCATCAGAACACAGGCTAATAAAATAGCAGCAAAAGATTACCTGTCTTCGGGGCTCTCAACTTCCATCAGTAAAACTATTCAACTACTCTCAATTACTTATGAAATAAAAAATTTGATAACAAACAACTGGGCTGCCAAGAGGTTTCGGAGGCCCTGGGCAGGGGCAGACTGGCCGGTCGGGCTACCAGGCAATCGCCCGGTGGGCCCTCCCAAAATTATTATAATTTTTTTTTAATTTTGCTATTTAATGAAAACCTGTATTGTTTGGTAAGGGTCCTTTTCTGTTGCCATAACACAGAGACTCTCTCAAGATTAGTGGATACAGAATGAGGAAAAAGATCACTTTGCAGTATTTAAGTAGTGAAAAGCGTTTTCCAAAATTTAGGGCCCCATGTAAGCAAGGAGAATCCTGGGCCCACTTTCCCTAATGTAGTAATACGATACTTAACTGGAAGTTCCAAAATCTGATAAATTTTTTCTTCGGGCCCTCAGTTTAAATATTTTCATTTAATCATAGGTTAAGGTGGTAAGGACATGACAATTTTTGTGGCTTAATTTCTGGGAAGGTACATTATTTTAATTCTAACCAAATAGATTTGAGAGTATAGATCAAAACAGCAGAAGGGCTCAACCCCCTCAGCTCTGACAAAATTTTTGCTCCAGTACATCCATACTTTGCTCCAGTATAAAACATGAAAGATTCGCCAAATATCTTAGGAATAAAACATTTAGTACTTCCGCCAAATTTTGGTGTATTTCGTCTGCAAAATTTTGGCATTATTCCATTGGCGTGGTCTGACTGTGCTAGTTTTAAATTCAAAAACTTTGCTGATGTGGTGAAAACCATGTGAGATTTGCCTTAACGAATTTTGCAAAATAACAGCCCTGTAGAGACTGGGGGCAGGGGGGCAATGCCCCCTCTCAAAGTACTTTGTTTGTTTCTCCTGGATACCATGACTTGTTTGTGCCATTGAAAAACTTGCATCAGAAACATTTCTATTTGATCACTGGTCATGTGAGAAATCTGTGATGGCCAATTAACAGGCAGTTAAAGGGGATTAATTCGTGCTGCTTAGTGCAATTTCAAACAACTTGTAGGGTCATTCATACAACCACATCCTGTGTTCACATAAAAAATGTGTAATGAATATGATGGAAATTTTACTTGAATGTGATTGTGTAAATCAGCCTTAACACAAACTTATAGTCAGCCACCACAATAGCTTGATGGGTATACCAGATATACAATCAACTTCACAAACATTTACAGGATTTGAAGCTATGGGAGCAATAACATCCTCTACATAATCAAAGCATTAATCTGGGTAAAAACTCATACTTCTTAGGGCCATTTGCTTTGTTTGCACGGAATGTAAATTATATGTATATATGCCAATATTTTCTCCATGCACAGAGATAAGAAGCATTTAAAAAGTGGGAGACACATTTTGGGCAAAAAGGAGACCCTGCTAGCTACCATTAAGCACTTTACCCCTATGTCTGAAAAGTGAAGGGATGGCATTTGCCCCTTGTGCCCCAATTCATCTGCCTTGATCTCAAAATAATATAATTCAACAAGAAACGCATACTCACCATCAATGCTTGTTTTCCTTTCAATTTTTTCACTTTCACCACTACAAAAATCACTGACCAGAGAATTATCAAAACATGTGGAAACACTTATAACGTAATCTTTATATGGCTTCAGGTCATTGATAGTGTAAGAGCTGTTGTCTCCAAATTGTTTCTTTATAACTGCAGAATGTTCATGTTCCAGGTACTTAATTATGCTATAGGCCACTGTGCTATTGTGTTTACCATGCTTCCAGCTTATTACCAACTTCCTAGATCCAATGTGGCTAACTATTAGATCTGTTGGCGGCCCAGGCTTCTCTAAGAACAAAAAAACAAACACATAATAAAAAAATAAATAGAGCTTGAGCATAAACTAATCAACATTTTATATAAAAAATTGATGACTCCTTTAAAAAATTGTAAATTTTAAGCTAGCCAATTTTAAAATGATATCGCGCGTGCATTCGCCGACATTGCGACTGGCCCATGTAATTGGGGTTATTTGGTGTTTACATAATTTTTGTTGTAATTGCAACGATTCAAAAGGCGCTAAAATTCTAACACTTGATATAGATTTTGTGTTTATAACAAGCTAAACATCACAGACCTAAGACATGTAAGGTAATTTCGTTGAAAAAGATGAAGACTTACCAGCCCATGCCAGAGACCAAAATGAAAGTAGTAGTAGTATTAGAGTTATCCGTGGCCTCGCAAAAGATTCCATTCTTCTAAACTTTTTTCACTTTAATGCTACAACCCTCACTCTTGTCTAAATAAGAAAAAAAAATCATGACAATTTTACATTCTTTACCACCCTGTTGTTTATTTGTGGTTTCTGTTTCATCATTACCATGCCATGGGTTATTCAACCATTTGCAAAAACATTTTCATTTTGCAAACGACTTTTGCATGACCGATATCAAAATTACACTCCAACCATCATATGGTGAATGTGTCAAGTTTTCGCAGCAAACTTCAAAATTTAGGGTAATTATAGCTTAATATTATAAATATTAATAATAAGTTTTAGTTCTAAAGGCACACTAAATGAAAGTTGCGATAAATTTTATAAACTATTAGACTTTGGCCAAACCAAACCTGTGATGGATTCCGTTCTCCTCTTCTGTTGATGAGGTGCTTCTCCCATACAATAACAAAAATTCCGGGTAGCAATGTAAGTTCCGTAATGAAACTCCCTTCAGGACTGCCTACTGACCGTCGCCATTTCCGGTCGATTTGAAAACCGTGAGTCAGCCTAACCGTACCTTATCCTCTTTCTCGTCTGTTTCTTTCAAGTCGCGCCTTCCCGGAATTTGGGCACAGGCCTAATGTTTTGCGCATGCTCACAATATTTCATTCAACAGTAAAAGAGAAGTTACATTTTTGAGGTAATTCAATAAAACACCAAATACATCCTCAAATGGCAACAATCAACAAATCGAGGGGTGTCAATTCGAGATTTTACGATAGCAGTGGGGACCTATTCGAGGGAAGGGGGAGGAGGGGGTTATTGACAATTTGTAGTTCTAGGGTGGATGCCTATTCGAGGGGGGAGGCTTTTTCGAGGGGGGCAATTGGAGGATTTGCGGTACTGTTATTTGACGCTCAAAATTATCAGCACGTTCTCGCTTTCAGCTATCTTCTCCTGAGCCATCTCACAACAACAACAATCACAGTGAATCCTATTAATTGATGAGCCCCAAAACTAAGTTGAACCTCCCAACACAATATTACAGATATCGTTGATATATAATAAAAGTGGGACTAAGACACTACCGTGTAGAACCCAACAATCAGAGCTTAATCTAAGCTGAACTTGGGCCTAGGGTTGCAAACGGGCCAACTGGAATTAAGCAATCTGGCTTTTTAAAGAATGTTTGGCTTCGAAATTTTACCTTTGGCCTCCTGCCTCATCTTGGCTATTTTTTGGCCTTCTAAGGGAATGTTCGAAAATGAGATTAAAACCCCATAAAATCATAAAATGGATAATATGTCCATGAACCAGACAGACACCTTAGGTGGCATTGATTTAATCCAAATTATGGATCAGATTGATTCAATCCAAATGGATCAGATTGAGTCAATCCAAATGGATCAGATTGATTCAATCCAAATGAATCAGTTTGATTCAATCCAAATGGATCAGTGTCTCATTCTCATGTCATTGCCAAAATTTCTCATGTAACGACGTGACGTCATTGCTGTAGCTTACTCTCAACATTTTATTGATTCACTTTTTGAGTATTTCCTTTGATAACTGGGCCTCCGACGAATGGGACGGCCGAGTGGCGAAGCCCCCCACTTTCCTCCAAAACAATAGAGCTTTTCAAAGTCTCCTGTCATGGCTGTTAAAGTTTCCCTTAGCTCCCCCTCCTCCCCTTTTTCAACCTGTGTCGGTACCCATGGATAATTTTTTTAAATAGAATTTGCAAACAATCTTTTGGTGGTACAAAATTTTAAACGTTTTCGATCTATGCGCTAACGTTTTATACTCTGAAAAGTGCTGGATTAGAAGCTTTAGTATGACTCAAAATGTTTGCTTTTTTCAAACCCATTTTGAAATAGAATTGGCAAAATTTCAGTAATCAATAACACGCATAATCGCAGAGATTGATCTACCCATTTGTAAAAAGTTACAATAAATAGTGAATGATCCTTTATTTTCTCGAGTTTCTAATCTATGTTCACCAAGTGGCAAGGTAGATATTACAGTGCAAGGAAGTACAAGAAGTCTTGGGAAGCGCAATATGTTTGGCTTATAGAGTCTGCTGGTGGAAAGGGCAACGGATATTCTGCAAACTAAATTTGTTTATAAAGCGCCTGCACATTATGACGTCATTGTGTTATGGGTAAATTTGGCCTAATTTGACGTGATTTGGTCTATTTTCATGAACGGTTTGGCTACTTAGGACCCATACCACCTGGCAACCCTGCTTGGGCCCTTTTCTTGGAGCTGGGAATCAAAATATGGAGTTTGATTTGAATTATTTTTCTAATCACATTTCATTCGAATGAAACCTATCGACTGTATTGATCATAGGCGTAAACTCAGGGGGGGGGGGCTCTGGGGCTTCAGCCCCTCCTGACGAAAACCGAGGGGAGGGCTGAGAAAATAAGGAAGTGCTTTACCAATTTTTAGATTAGTTTGTTATATTATTGGTTTTGACGCATAACATTTGTTGCATTACATAATTGCGTTTACAGCAAAATAAAGTATGAAATTATTGTGAACATAAGGTCAGATCCAGGCTGAAAGCATCAGAGAGGAACGCAACGTGCGATCTTTGCTGACGTGATAATAGCTATGGACAAATTGACATCAGCAGTTGCCATTAGGAATTGTCATTAATTTTTTGAGCCCCCTCTGAAAAAAATTCAAGTCTACGCTTACGCAAAAGGGCACTTTCCTTAATGTAACGCAACTGACGGTAGAAACAAAAGTAAAGGGACGAGTATGCATAGTTGGTAAGGTTTTCACTGTCTTGCACATAACTCCTTACACCCATGCAGCGTATAGTTAGAAAAACACTAGATAAAACAATTTGAATATAGTACTCAAGATCATGATGCTTTCTGCATTTTTAGAGTTATAAGAATAAACTTTTTGGTACAAATATTTTGCTACAAAAGTCTTAAAAATGTCCGGTCTGTCTGAAAAACTTTCTCACGAATTTCCGTCTGCTGTATGTATCAAAGTCTGGTTGACGGTTTCGTCGCTCACGTGCTGAAAGAAAATGGGGAAAAGCTGGCCGTGGATCATAATGAGCTGTTCCAACACCGTTTAGGGCAATAAGCAGTCTGGCGTTGATTGTACCTTCAGTCATATTTGTTCTTGAATCTTCAACAATGATGTTATGATGAGACACAATCCTCTCGGTTTGCATGGAATGTGGTGACATACTTCCAATAGCAGCTAGCACTTTTTGAAAGGTGCCATCTGTAATAGGCAAGAGCTTTCTCAGACGTACTGATAGTTTACAACCAATGTCGCTTCCTTCTGGAAGATGCGGCACTTTTTCGATTTTGTCCCACTGTTCACAACATTCATCTGCAAAGCGACCCTCTTCCCCTGGAAAAAGCCTCTGGGTCATCCCTATTCTTTTTTCCACAAATTTCCCCAGGGTACTTGCACTTTTCTCTTCCCACATCAGCTCCAGTTGCTTCTGATTTCTCGTTGCTTTGTGCATTTCTGAAAATACATGATCAATTATTAGTTTGAGTCGTTCTTCATCATCTGCTCTGACCCCATTTGCAATACCAATTTTTATGTACGAAGAATGAGTACATGAAGGGGGGATTTTGCTCGGCTCGATGGGCATCCATATATATATATATATATAGGAACTGCTATGACGCAGTAAGTTTACAAAACCCAGATCTTTGATGTCCACTCATCAACCTTTTGCTAAGAAGTGAGGAAAATCGATGCGTTCACTCCACTCGTGCCTAACGATCTCTCTAACGAACCAAGCTCAATCAGCATTGACAAAAAATAGGTATCCAGCGATAATGACTCTCGCTCGGTTCCAGTGCAATACTTTGATTACGAAGCCGGGAATCTTTCGTATCGTAATTGTGAGCACAAACTTTTAATTTCGTAAACTTCCTAAGTTGCCGAGTGCAAAGATTTCTTTTCAATTCCGGGCAATTGAACCGTAATTTTGTTAAGAAATGTATTCCACATCCCCAAATGAGATTAATTATATCATTCTCGACGCTAACTGTTAGAGGTCTGACAGACTTTTTAAACAAATCACCGTTGTTTCTATGAGTTTTTTTCCTACCACCAAACTACCTTTATTCCCAACGGGTCTGAAGGAATTTGGACATGATTTTGGATATTATAAACCCTACTTAGAGAAAAACTTTGGAAAGACCTGCAAGCATTTTGCAATGACAATTTTTTGCATAGACCTTGGAAACTTTCGAATAAACTTTCACCTGATCTCTTTACAAAACTTTGATTGTACAATTGCCCGAAAAACTAAACAGAATTTTGAAAACACTATACAATATTTATAATTTTCCACTACTCATTGCATGAAAAGTATTCTTGGCAGAAAACTTCCGTGAAACAACCGTGGAAATCGCATATTCCCGCACTTTTCCTTATTGATATCCCACATAGCCAAAAAATATGCCAATTATACGGTTCTAATTTACGTTGACGCTATGACAGGATTATTGAAAGCGACCATTCTCGATTACCTGAGGAAGTTTCTGATCTATTCTGGCTACCGTCAACTGCACGTGCAGAAACCAATTTATTAACTGTACACTTCCCCCAACGTCCACGAGCAAAAAGCTAGACGGACTTTGATTGATCGAAAGATCTAAGAAAGTGATGACCCACAAAGGGGGAGGATTTTGTCGCCAGGCTAGCAGCCCCAACCCAATTTAATAGCACGATTATAGACATAAGTGGTCGATTAGCGAAAATCGCTCAATTTGACCTTTTACTTAACGGGAAACCTCACGGATTCTCGATTTGTTCGTTTGGAAAAATCTGGGGAAAAATCTCTTTTGATTTCGGCAATTTCAATGCCTCGAGCATTGTTATAACGCATTGTCTCACCCCTTTGGAATTCGGCTTCTCTGTATTTCCATATTGTTGATGAACTCAATCAAAATGCCGATTCCATTGTTACACCAATTGCGAACAAATTCTACAATAATTAATATATTATACATTATATAATTCTTTATATATATA